CCCTTGTAAAACCGTTACCTATTGCATTTGAAAATTGAAAGTGCATCACCAAATAGTGGGTGATTTAAAATACCAATGGGTACAAAAGAAAATTGTCGGAAAAAGCAAAGTCGCGCCAACTTCTAAAAATGAAGTAATAAAAACAATATTATGGCTTCCATTTCCGGGGCATCAACTACATGGAGATCACCGTTGAAATGAATCCAAATGCCAATAGCTTCTTTGAGGAATCCAGAGTAACTTTGCCACCAATCACAGCGGAAAGGGTTGAAAAGTCGCATCTCAAAGCTACACATTGGTTAGGAAACTGATATCCATACCTTATATGTGCGATGAGAATAGAAGAGTCCTCTCCGACAACTTTCATATGACATGTATGTGGCACCGCTGCCACCGAAGTAGGTGGAAGCCGAGGTGGGCAATTGGTGATGGTAATGATGTAGTCGTTGGCATTTTTTCTCCTCAAGACGACGCAGACACTGTGTTGGTGTAAACAGAGGAAGAGGAGAAGTGGAAGAGAAGGGGTGGGGGAATTTGTGTAGAGGTGGGGGCACGATAGCAAGGTGGGGGATGGAGCTCAGTGGTGGAGCGCTCGCTATGCATGCGAGAGGCCCCGGGTTCGATCCCCGGCATCTCCAACTCACGCGTGTGGTTAGCGGTCCTCAGCCAATTTCGGCTCCTCTCCCTCCACCCCTGCAGCAGCGCTCTATGTAGTAGGCAGAAGGCGAGTCGAGGTGGCTCTTTCACCCACCTCCACCGATGTCTTAACGTAACCTGCTCCAGCCTTTATGCACACGTCGTCACTAATCTGTGTATTTACCTGCTCGTGTTAACACTGCAGACGGACAATACACTCTGCACAATCGTGCGCTCTTCTCCCACTGTGGTAGAACAGGCTTGCAGCATAAGGCGGGTAGATGAAAGGCGGGCGGGTGATTGAGTAGGTGGAGATGTAAGTGCTTTACAGGCAGAAGGTTCCCGGTTGGAATCCGGGTCGAGTCACTTTCCCCCTTCTTCACTCCCACTGGCCACAATAGTCTGCTCTATCACTCAGTGCGTCAAGTGTATCAGTGAAGTAAAATGACAGTTGGTGACGAGTCATTTATTGAGGTGGGGCGGGTGCCAAATGGTTGACGGCACTTGCCCTCGGAGAGAATCGAACTGTCGACCCCTGGTCTACGAGACCGGTGCTCTAATCGCTAAGCTACGAAGGCACCGAGCGTCTTCCCACCTTCGCATTCCGCCCTGTTGCCTCCCCTTCAACAAGACACCCTACCACTTTACCATATCACCGCCCGCGTCTGCACTTGCTTTGGTTTGTTGTAATGCACTCCCCACTTCGCATTTTCCATAAACATCGTTCTCTCGCGTGTGCTCAAGGTCTCTTGCCCTTGTAAAACCGTTACCTATTGCATTTGAAAATTGAAAGTGCATCACCAAATAGTGGGTGATTTAAAATACCAATGGGTACAAAAGAAAATTGTCGGAAAAAGCAAAGTCGCGCCAACTTCTAAAAATGAAGTAATAAAAACAATATTATGGCTTCCATTTCCGGGGCATCAACTACATGGAGATCACCGTTGAAATGAATCCAAATGCCAATAGCTTCTTTGAGGAATCCAGAGTAACTTTGCCACCAATCACAGCGGAAAGGGTTGAAAAGTCGCATCTCAAAGCTACACATTGGTTAGGAAACTGATATCCATACCTTATATGTGCGATGAGAATAGAAGAGTCCTCTCCGACAACTTTCATATGACATGTATGTGGCACCGCTGCCACCGAAGTAGGTGGAAGCCGAGGTGGGCAATTGGTGATGGTAATGATGTAGTCGTTGGCATTTTTTCTCCTCAAGACGACGCAGACACTGTGTTGGTGTAAACAGAGGAAGAGGAGAAGTGGAAGAGAAGGGGTGGGGGAATTTGTGTAGAGGTGGGGGCACGATAGCAAGGTGGGGGATGGAGCTCAGTGGTGGAGCGCTCGCTATGCATGCGAGAGGCCCCGGGTTCGATCCCCGGCATCTCCAACTCACGCGTGTGGTTAGCGGTCCTCAGCCAATTTCGGCTCCTCTCCCTCCACCCCTGCAGCAGCGCTCTATGTAGTAGGCAGAAGGCGAGTCGAGGTGGCTCTTTCACCCACCTCCACCGATGTCTTAACGTAACCTGCTCCAGCCTTTATGCACACGTCGTCACTAATCTGTGTATTTACCTGCTCGTGTTAACACTGCAGACGGACAATACACTCTGCACAATCGTGCGCTCTTCTCCCACTGTGGTAGAACAGGCTTGCAGCATAAGGCGGGTAGATGAAAGGCGGGCGGGTGATTGAGTAGGTGGAGATGTAAGTGCTTTACAGGCAGAAGGTTCCCGGTTGGAATCCGGGTCGAGTCACTTTCCCCCTTCTTCACTCCCACTGGCCACAATAGTCTGCTCTATCACTCAGTGCGTCAAGTGTATCAGTGAAGTAAAATGACAGTTGGTGACGAGTCATTTATTGAGGTGGGGCGGGTGCCAAATGGTTGACGGCACTTGCCCTCGGAGAGAATCGAACTGTCGACCCCTGGTCTACGAGACCGGTGCTCTAATCGCTAAGCTACGAAGGCACCGAGCGTCTTCCCACCTTCGCATTCCGCCCTGTTGCCTCCCCTTCAACAAGACACCCTACCACTTTACCATATCACCGCCCGCGTCTGCACTTGCTTTGGTTTGTTGTAATGCACTCCCCACTTCGCATTTTCCATAAACATCGTTCTCTCGCGTGTGCTCAAGGTCTCTTGGATGATTTGAATGCCAAAGGCAGCAGGTGATTCACGCTTCGTCTTTTTTCCATGTGTGTAGGGTGTAAGTAACCTTTGATTTCAATTGTAATCACAAGTTGATGTGTGTGTGTGGCAAAGTGGCCACAACGCTACTACCCCAGACAGCCTGTCTGGACAACAGCTACTCCTATTGGCTGTCGTGTCAAGTTAAGTCACTGTGTGACTGATGGCCTGCAGGTAAGTGCTGTGCACATCAGGATACAAGGGGTGTGCTGGTATAGAGTAGGAGCCCAAGAAGCCTTCTAAACACGTAGAAGACAGATGCGCAATTAATTATGCGACATTACAGTTCTGGTGGCCATCCGGCTAAACGTTTGACAGACGACCAGATCATGGTTTGGATGCACAGCGCTCTGGGTTATGGGCTGGGTACGACTAAAGGGGCCAATCCGCTAACACTGTCCATCCAACTCTCCCTAAATATCAGGCTGTTCTGCAGCCTGCCAGCCTGACTACCTCAAGCCAAATGACACAGCATTTGGAAGAGCTACACCAATCACACCAAGTCGTGGTGTGTGTGTGGCTGACACTGTGCCTGTTTGTTTTTACTGCCGGTGTTGATAGAGCTGGACCCCAGGACCTCTTATTTCTTCCAGTCCACTCTTTACACCTGCTTCATCCACATATGCACACGTACAAAGTGACACACACTTCCCACCATCAGCAGGGCTATTGTGGACACGTGTACGTCTTTGTGTCGTATTAATGCTTCTCTTTGTTATGTAATGATGGTGGTGATGATAAGTGGAAGGAGGGAGGGAGGGAGGGAGGGAGGTATGTGGTGGTTGGGTAGGAATAGATGGGAAAGAGCAGTGGCAAGTGAGGGCGAATGTGGGGTGGGCAAGGCATGGCAAGGGCGGGAGGGTTGTGGTGTGAGCGGAAGTGGTGTCGCCCTGATGGTTTAGCGGTTAGGATTCCTGGCTCTCACCCAGGCGGCTCGGTTCAACTCCCCGTCAGCGAGCGGGCCTGTGCCACTATCACGTTAGCTACTTGCGTGGCTGAAGATGTTTGACTGTAGGAGGAGGAGGTTAAAGGAAGACGATTTTATGCCTATTTTTTGCTATGGAGAACATACTATACAAAGATCCTATATGAACACGCATTATGTGATTGTGGTAAATACGGAATGCCATCTGATGGACATGTCATGCAAATGCGACGTCATGTCGAATCTGAGTAGGGAATGCGAAACAGGAAAGCTTCCCCATTTGCGGGATCCTAGAATAAGTGTTTTCTTCACCAAAGTAGCTACAAATTTGAGTAAATCTCGTTAAACCTATTCCTCTATTCTTAATTTCCTCCCTCCATCATCTTTATGACCTGTAAATGGAACAACTGTTTGCAATTGTGTAGAAATTATAATAGTATGCAACTACATGCCATTTATTTTTAGGCTGCTTTGTTTTTAAATATACAACAATTATACCTGAGCATCGTTTCGTCTCCACTGAATTTAGCATTTAAGCTGTGGCCCGGATGCAAGTGTGGAGGAGTAAGAGGAGTAGGGGGTGGGTAGGTAGGTGACAGAGGGCGCTCATTCATGGTCTAGCGGTTGGAATTCCTGGTTTGACCCTGGCGGCCCGGGTTCAATTGCGCTACCTGCATTTTAAAAGAAACGTCTGAACAAAAGAAGCACAAGATTTGCAAGATTATTTAAGTTCTTAGGAAAAATTCACGTGTCTCATCTTATCAGAAGTGGCCATAAATGGATGTCCATAACATACATGTTGAAAAGAAGTTATTTGCAGGGGTATTCTTGATTGCCAAATACAATAGTCATACACATTACCACCTCAAACCGTGCCGCAATTGCGGCCGTGCAAATCTGCCTTTGATTTTTGGAGAGTCCATTGACCTGATTACTAAAGTTACCACTTAAATTCTTAGTTTAGAAAAACAAAGTGAACAATGTCTAATTGCAGTCAATTACACTCTCACGTTACCACATCTCGACCAATTCACCTTGTCACACGTCGGGAAGAAAACCCACACCACTTCGAGTGCTCTTAACTCATAGCTGCCAATTTACGAACAGGCGTCCTTTCACTAACTACTCATAAGCAGCGTCAATTTTTTCCAAAGGTATTTAAGCTGCAGGAACCAAAATTACTTGCGGTTAACATGGAACAATTTCTTTGCCATGTGACAGGTAAAACAGGCAGTGTTTCGCTTTAAATAAACATTCCACTAATGTATTATAGTTAGGAGGTTATGGATGCGAAATTATTCCGAATGACTTAAGCAAAAGTATAATCGTACTTTGTTGTCGTCATTTTTATTAAAACGGGTAGAGGATCTTTGGGATTTTTCTGGAAGGATAGTGTATACATCTGCCAAATACAGACAATGCTGTGAGAGCATTGGTATGGTATGAGGCACTAAGTGAGACTACACCATTTACAGTCGAAGCCGGACCAACTGCTTGGTAGGTTGTCACGAAGCCTAACGTCATTTTCTCCTCCCTGCGCCACGGACAAGCACCCACATCTACCTTCATATTCCTACCTCTCCATCCAAATCCACTTCTTTCTTGTGTGCCTCTTTATTAGCACCTCTCTACCTTACTGCCTGTGCACCATTTCTGTTTACCTGTCTACCCGTCTGTCTATCTCCGTCTACCTGTCCCTCCGCCCCCACCTCAGATTGTGGTCACTCCCTCACACTCACGCACACAGTCACCCATGTATACACCATTTCAATCCAAGTGTTTTTTAATATGCTTGAATTTTGCTGATCGTATAACACACAGGGTACGACAACATACAGCAGGACTGTGCTCCAAAAGGTGTGGCTCTCGGCATGCAACGCGTTGAAGGTTGCCATTCAGTGCGTGAGCACCGTATGTGTTGTACTGCCCCACTCACAGATTCCTCTGCGCATCAAACGGTGGTCATGAGGTGCGACACAGCGTGGTGACCCACGTACAGAATTGCACATCCATGGTGTGCTGCGAAGGCAGCCAGCATCTTTGGGTTTTACCCGCTGTGTGAGATGTGCCGTGTGCTATACCATCAGCATTGAGATGAGTAAATAAATAAGTAAAAAAGTTTTGTGGGTAGCGATCCTATTGATCTTGTGGGTGTCAATGTCGGTGTGGAATGACATAGAGCTCGTGGGTGAGTGCCAAGCGGCAAGTGGTTGGGGTCAAGTTAAACGGTGAAGCGAAAGAGTAAAAGGAAGTGATGATGATAGCAAAGGGGTCAGCTTGTCCGGAGTAGCGAGTGACAGTTGGGAGAGAGGAGCATTTTGACAAGGGCTTGCCACATTGAAAAATGGAAGAATGAGTAGATGAGCGTGCAGATGTTTCTTCTTCTTGGTGTATATCAGTGCCGCAACCTTCAACACTACTGCCGTTATTCCGACGCAGAGATGCATGTGAGGCATACTACTTGTGGTGGTTATAAGCTAGTTAGGTAAGCACATCCACTACTACCACCACCTCACAGGCGACATATCCTCTGCTAATGGTGGTAGCAAATACCCGTGCTTCTTAAAACAGGTGGTACACCTTCCTATTTTGAGTGCTGCACATCTACAGACATGCAATCCCTATGTATACGGTGTTTGCAAAGAACAGCGAATTAAACGATGATTACAGACAGTGAAACATTCTTACTTTGCTTTGGAAAGACAAGCTGTTGCCGCATACTCTTTCTAGCAAATCACTGAAATCCACACATTTTAGCATGATGCATTGCTGAAAATGTGGAACTTATCCACCCGGAATCTGTAACTGCAATTTGAGCTATCCTTTCAAAATGTAAGGTGTTTGATGTCATCGACGATGGCGCTTTGATTTTGAGTGGAGAGTGATAGAACCGGATTGGCACAAAAGCCAATGCTGATTGGAGTTTGGTGGGACAGGTGAACTTCTATTCCTGATCGCACCTTATTTTACATTTGCATTCGCCAATGGGTTCTGTCATCTTGCAGTAGACACAATTCTCTCTTCCAAATTCCTTTTTACTTCAATAGTTTCCTCTGCTACCTTGGGGTTTTAGTTTGTTCGTTTGACCCCGTGTAACTTCATTTATCGTGAAATCGCATCAAGTTTTCACATCATGAACAGAAGTTACTGATTTTATTTCACTGTCAAGTGCAATTTCCACGAATTTCGAAGTCGAATCAATGCAATTGAGGAAGTGCGAACTAGGGAAGCAGCACTATCAGGCACCTGTGTCACTTCCGTGGATCATTTTGCAGTGCATCTCAACTGCTTATTCTTGTGTGGAAATGTAAAATGCACATAGTCATTACCGACACATCAAAATAAAGTGCCACCAATGTCAATTATCTGCCATTGTGTAGAAACTGTGATGATCTTTTCTGCATTTCAATACTTTAACGTTACTGGTAACAAATGCCGTGGGATGTGAGACACTTTTATAGGAAAACTGTTTAATTTTTGCAACTCTTTTTGATTCCTTATCACCACATCACATGTTAACATGGTGCAATCTGTCGGTTGTTTAACACTCGGTTTTATTAAAGGGGCACTTTGTGTCTCAGCCCTCACACCCTCGTCCGGTGAGCTGACATCCAGGACATGCCAGTAGCCCGAGCCACTCTACGTCAAACACGTTTGCATCTATGTACATTCTGTCACAATATCATGCCTTCCTTCGTCTTTTTTGCCGATGCCTTACAGCACTATATTGGAGGCAGCAGAAATTTAACCCGTCCCAACGGGACAACATTTCTGAGTTCTACTGCTTGTTGCCTCACCTCAGCGTGACGGACGAAGTGTTTACACTGTGGATGGGAGGACTAATGACGACTCCAAGTAGGGAAGCTGTGAATGACATCTGTCTTAGGTAACTACCCCAGTCCCGTCTTCTTCAGAAAAGCCAATGACAATAAAAGTGACACTAGTGGCGAACAAGTAGAAACAATTTCGGTGTAGAGTTGTCCATCGCACCAGTATGAAGGCATTAACAAGGCGAAGTCGCGATACCTCCTGCACTTCTCTATTAGCTGGATAGAACCCAGATAATCTCGACTGGCCAGCACTGAAGTGAGAAAGGTGATGAGTGAAAACATAAGCGGAACAAATTCTCTGCGTAACTACCCTAAATAACTTTCTTCCTTACATTAATTACTTTCATCTCCAGTGCTCCTTCGTTTGCCGTAGATATGCGTGATGGGAAGCACAATTCACCCTCCTCCAATCCACTTCGCATACAGGACGAAATTGCAGATCTAGCTGAATTGCCATAGAGGATCGGTGACGATGCAACCGGGTATCATCTGGGTTGCGTAGAGATTGGATGAGTGGCGCGGCTGGCTCGTGAATGTTTGTCTTGCAGTACTAATTGCATTGAGATGTATGAAGAGAGAGGTTGTGGAAGGGTAGTGCCATGACGACGCTGTAAATAATTGAGGGAAATGGTATACACTGTTTGTTTAAGTATCAATTTTACTAGGGGACTACTTCTGTGTCTCGGTCTTTGTACCTTCGACGGGTGCGCTAGCATCAGGAGTGTGAAGGCAGCCCCAACCCCTTTCGTACATTCCCTGTAGTCATATTCTGCCCATGCATTGTGTCTTTTTCGTCCGCAGGACATATTCGGGGCGTGTGTAGTTTTAACTTATTTATTGAACTTTTTCTTTTCAATTGCATTCAAGGCAGTAACTTAAGAATCATTTTGTGGAAATGATTTGTATCTTCTAAGTATGTTAGGTGGCATAGTCTCCTGTATTACTTCAAAATGGACCACAGTTTAGGATTTATTACCACTTCTAATTATGTGATATTTTCTCGCATTGGCAAGACGCTACACCCCTTCGTGACATTAATGAGTAGGTTAATGAACTCACATTAAAATTGTCATTTGATAGCTCATTTCTGCTCACACCATCACCCGAATAGCCTCAGTGTTCTAATTTACTCCAAATTTTGTCCGGACGAAGCATTACATTTGCATTCAAAATAGAGTTCAGTAAATTTCCTGATTACAACCCAATCCTTTGGATATGTGCATTACTAAAGAAGTTGTTATGATGAAGGCAATTCTGCAGCGTCAGATCACAAAGATCGGTGAACTTATCGAATCAGTTACTCGGATTTGGAGAGAGTGGTTACGCTGTTAGCAGAAAGGGTTTCTGTACTTGCAACGTAATGAATGGATGGAGGAGGATTGAGGCATCAGCTCGATCGGGTTGCTGTCTGACTTCATTCCGGGGTGTGGTGGAGTGTCTCCCCAGAAATCGTTAGAAAGAGGCGTAAATGGTGTCTCGCGATGGAGTGGAAAATAGATTGCCATCCTTCTACTCAAGTCGCATCTATGATCCCCATTTACTCAACCCACCCTCCTGCATTCAATCAGCATTCATGCATCCAACCGTTCCGTGTTCACTCATTTGTCTTGCATTCACCCATCCATTTATTCCTCCATCCATCCCTCAATCCCGCAATCTGATCCGCATTTATTCATCGCATAGGCGGCATTCATTCCTCCTCCAATTTGTGTGCCTTCATGCATCAAATAGTCATCCAACAAAATTGTTCTTCCCCTGCACTCACATCCTTCAAGCCGTTCACTCCTTCACCATGCTTACCTGTAGCAAACAATTCGGAATACTCAATACTCCCAATACTCAGTTTGACTCTGTGGAGGCAGCCTGTACACGTCATTCTTGGAATTCGTCTTTCCAAATGCCTTTGGCCTTTTCTCCACACCGCATTCCTCTCTTCCTGCATCAAGCCATTTGGAAATCACTTTAAATTTGGTTTCCTCACTCATGCCACCTTGGCGTTTCCTGTCCAGTAGGACCTCAAAGTACTCCGCTGTTGCGTGCATCAGCATCTCACCTCGCAAGCATAGATTTTCAAAATGCCTCACAATCGGTGGAAGACACGATTCCATTAATTGACGATTTTGCATCACATTGGCAACTGACCACACCTCTGCCAAGTAGTCGAGAGAAGTCTTTCAGACAACCAGTTGTAACTCTCAGAAAATCTTTGCCTACCTCGTTCTTAGAAAATCCACACACCATTCAACAATGGTGGCGAAGCCAAGATTGTGCGCCGAAATTGCGATGCTGCCCGTGTCCGAGTAGTTGATGGCAACCTGGACAATGATGAAACGAGGCTAACAATGGAGAAAAAATCTGCTGAATACACGCTAGTCCTTAGCATATGTGCATTACCTAAATATTTGTTTTGAAGACCTTCCTTTAACAGAATTTGTCTACTCGAATAAACAAAAGTCCAATCAGACGCATGCAATACCTGTTTCGGATATGAAGCGTTTCTTCAAGGCACTAATGCGTATAAGCAAGCTTCAACGTGGTAGTTTTAGGGAACAGCTTGATGTAATGTGAAAGAGGGAAGAGACTGTCTCATTATGTGTTTAAAAATTTACTTGTGTATTTGAACTGAACATATACAAACTCCGCATCAAACCCTCAGTAGCACTGAGTTGTCGTTTGCTAGGAGAGGAAGTAATTGACACGAGTTTGATCAGTCACCGCCACAGTGCTCATTTCAGCCTTCGATAAATCATTCAACTAACACTAGGGGAAGTAGTTGGCATTCATAGGCCATGACTGACATTCATATTGCCCCAATTGGATAGCAACTGCTGAAATTATAATGGCAGAGGTATGGTGCATGCTACAATCTCAAAGTGTATTCATCGACTTCCACCACCTACAGGGCAACTTCACTGATGGCATTTGCCGACAATTTGCTGGTGTTGGCATTCACTTAACCTCCCTCAGCAATGCACATCCGTACTCTACTGGATCAACTTCTTATTTCGGTACGCACAGGGGCATTGGATACGCCTCATGATTGTATCGAATTCAAGATTGTAGCGTAGACCAAATGAATCGCTTATTCCAGCACAGGAGAGTATTCGTCGCATCATTCTTGAGTGTACAACCCCATCCGCCTTAGTGTTGAGTAAAGTAATTACAACTGGACACTGTATGTAATGTACTAAGGATGTTTCATACAGTGCCAATTCTATTCATTCTAGTATCTTACACTCTCTCCATGCTTGCAGCCAGATGCCAAGGCATTGACCTGGAAGTAATAAGTCCTCTTTCGCCTTTGCCTTGATGGGCTTTATCATATCGAGTGATGATGCACAATTGTTAACGAGGTGGTAATAAAAGCAATCAAATGCGGCGCCGAGTAGTTGCAAGTAGGTGTTTGGCCGGCAGCTGAAATGCTTGTCATTATTGGCCCTTCCACTTTGTTTTGTGAGTTTTTTTGTCAGCAACATCTAGTTTCCTCCACAATGATAAAGGAATGATTAAATGTGTATTCGAGTTGGCAAAATGGCCAGTAAGAGACAAAAACCTAAACAGAGTGAATTTAGAAATTTGAATGTGGAAAATTTGAGATCTAAACACTAGCTGTTTGCATAGATCAATTATGCTGATACCTAGCAATTGGCAGAACTAGTCGCACACACACCTGCACTTTCCTCTGTATCCCGGTGCCGATGGCAAAGGATGTGTCAGCGGTGGGATTTGAACCCACGCCCTCATCGGAGGACCAGAATTCCCAGAATGTGCATTCACTTGAGTCTGACGCCTTAGACCAACACCACATCTCAACCCCCTCTGTCTCGCATCGTCCCGTCTTGACTGGCCTCGTCTCCCAATGCTCCATCACCTCAAATATCACACACAATATAGCCCCATCTCATTGCTACCACCGGCTACTTTCTTGTCTTCATCTTCCCTATTTGTCCCTCTTTGCCGTTTAACATGATATCACCCACCCCTCAAATGGCACTCACCCACAAACACTACGTCAACTCCCACCGACAATAAAAGTAGTATAATTTTAACATTTCCTCATGTCAAACATTGTATCGCTTATTCCTCTCACTTGCTTCATGATGACAAATACGGACTTACAAAACCCTACTCCATAGCACACACTACCTCTCACACAACAGGCGGAAACCCACAGACGCTGACTGCCCTAGCATCTTGCAATAACGATTGTATTCAGTACCTGAGTCGCCACGATGTGTCTCACCTCATGATCCGGTGAGATAGGATGCACGCGGCAGCCTCGCAGCATATCACAATGTTTTACACTGACGAGAAACCATGTCAAAACATAATCTCACTCCGTGGCAGTCTGACATACCCTGCTATTCTTTCGAAATGTGGTTAAGGTGGTTATTTATTAAAAGTGAGATGATGGTTCGGGACCTTAGTTTAAACGGGTCACGTTCAGGTGGCATTAATCCACAAATTTGGCTGTCGTTGTCTTAATTCTAATAATTAGATTTCTTGCAATTGTTAAATGTGCTATCTCGCTTCTTCTTCCTCATTGTTTGCAAAAGTAAGGTATGTTCTCGCAGATTTCGGTGCGAGCTTTTGTTTGCAATTCCTCTCCACTTTTATTGTGTGTGCAGTCATGAAACGGTGATGTCAGTGAAGACGACAGACAGACACGAAATAGTTTGCATCAGCAGTGGTTTGGTTGAGAAGGTATTTTACATTCGGAGCTCCTTCGATGCTGCTGCAGAACGCTCATTCTCGTGTGATAGAAAAGAACGCTAAGCGGATCCGATGAATTGAAACCCATGTACTTACAACTTGTATAGCCGAGGTAACTGGAAGAGCATACTCATACGCATAGATATATGATTTTACCGGAGGCTATCATCCTCTGCTTATGCGTTCTTTGTATACAGAGTCAGTTAATCACGTAAAAATGTGCAGGTAACACCGATTTATAATTGGCATTGCATACCCGATTCTGCTTTCTCCGTTAAGAATGTTATTCCTTACTGTAAAGAGAGACAGTGTACTGCTGCATTAAGAGTAATAGGAATATGGTGCATGCGACAATCGCAAAGTGGAATTTGTGTCTTCTACTACCTAAGTGGCAACTCCGTTGACGATATTTGCCAAAATTTGGCTGCGTTAACCAGCATGCTCTCACCCAATCATTTCATCCATTTCTTCTTTCTAAAACATCAGGGTTTTCGCCACACTTGATGATTGCAACAAATGCAAGGCTTGGGTGTAGACTAGGGTAATCGCCATTCCCAATCCTCGTCTCATCACACTTGGGCTCATTTGTGCATCCGCCTCTGTGCTGAGTAATTGCATGTTAAGAACAATGTACTCAGGAGTGTCTTCTGCATTGCCCATTCCATTCATTTTACTACCTAGCTTTTACTGATCCGCACGTTCAGAGAGACGCCGCCTTATTCGTTTGAAGCAACTTGATGCTCTTCTGAGCTCCGACTTAATGTGCATCAAATAATTGCCTCACGGACCCTGCACTTCACCCTGATACTCCTTCTCTGATTGCGTCACTATGTACAACTGCTTCTTTTGGAAATACATATGGAGTGATTAATAATGCTCTTCCTTTCAAGGCAAGAAGCATGAAGTGACGACCTGTCATCTAACGAATGTAAACATTTACATGTGCGACTAATTTGACTCCCCCTCCAACTTGAGGCAGTTTACGTGAGACGGTGATGCACATCAATTTACAAAGTCAGAGGACAATTAAAATGAGGGAGAGACAGCAGAAGTAGCCTACGTGGTGTGGAGGAGAAATCGGCTGCCTCCTAGGTAGAAGATTGTGGACTGAAGTCCCCTCGCCAGTGTTTCGTTAGATATAATGCAGTGGTTCATGCCCACCCCTTCAGCCGCGCCAGTCAGTATTGTGGGCAAGCACGCGGGCTGGAGTGCGCACGACCACACGAGGGATGCATGCAGGCATGCGAGCCTCACCTCAGTCACTAGATCCCACGCAATGCATTCGAGGTTAAAAATCGCGTCTAGAGGGAGATTCTTATTCACAACCTTCAGATGAGGAGACTGAATCTCTAACCACCTACTCTACCCGGATGACCCATCGTCGATCCATGGTCAGTCATACATGCCCCTCGACCTCACCCACTTCTCAGGCCTCATGGCGCTCATGAGCATACATGCGAGTAGCTGCCATGGCATGCTACAGGATGCCGAATGAGTGAACTTACAAAGCTGACGCAGCGTAGCATTTAAAGAGGCGGTTGTGTCACAACTTGCACGTCATAATCCACTGAAAAATGACCTCGAACAGTCGGAATTCAGAGCCAACCGCGCTAACGACAGGACCCACCGCGGAACCGCCAAGAATGGCAATTACTAATGAATCGCCCCTCCGTTGCTCCACGGCTCAACCGAAAGCAGAGAGCAGTGCATTGCAAGTAGCTAAGTGGAGTGTTGTTCAGTGCAGTTCATCACTCATTGCCTCTGGTGTTGAGGGGCAGTATATATACTGAAGTGGATCCTCCTCAGCTTCGTCCATTCTGCAGGATATTTTATTATTACCATTCCTCCGAACTATTGAAATACGTAATCAGTGTGATGTGGCCAATTCCTTACTTCTGTACTACCGCTAAGCCGGAAGTGTGTTCAACTGTCTCCCAATTATCAACTTTGCTTCCTGCATTTTAAAAGGAACGTCTGAACAGTTAGGGCGTCACTGATGAGGTATAGCAATAGTAAGGTAAGTAAAGTAAGATACTACAAGATTTGCAAGATTATTGAAGTTCTCGTTAGCTCATCATTTGTTCACTGTGATTAGAAGTGACTGGATAAAAGCTGTTCATACAAATGATGCTACTCTGTCTCCAAGCAAAGTGCCCAAATATACTACCACCATGGACTATGCCACAATTATGTCCGTGTAATTCTACCTCAGATTCTGGCCAGTCCATTGACCTGTTTGCATATTGCTAAATGAAGTCATTCTTTCCCAAGACACAATGCTCCTGGTAGTTTTGCAACCACTACTTTGATGAAACGGTAGGGAACATTTGTCCATATCAAACTGCCCCTCATGTCTGCCCATCTTCCGTCACGGATTCGAAGCAACATTCAACTAGCCTTTTCGTACCATGAGAGGGTACTATTATTGCAGCCTACACCACACAGGCTGAAATGCTGCAAATCTGCTGATCAACGCAATTGATGAAGGGCTTTCACTGCCTCCTTACTTGTCAGCTAATGCAGTCAGACACTAAGCCTATTCAGCTTGTTAAAACTTTGACACGCGAGTGCGGGGAGCAAAACTCAACTGCTTTCAGTAGTGTAATCAAGTCATCGCATCAGCACTTTGTCCATGTAAAACTGCCAGAATGTGGATCAACAACGAACATGCAGTAAGTAAGGCGAGCAAAGCAGGTTGACAAATAAGCACGGATATTTCTTGTTATGGTAAAATGTTAGCAGCTAGGCACGAAATCCTGGAGAACGCGCATCGCCTTCCTCCTTCTGTCTCTCACCTCACCTCGACTTAAGACAATACCTCTTCAAACTAACTTTTCCGCTTAGAAGAACAAGGTAAAATGTCTGTTTCCCAATCAACTGTACCCTTACAGCACCACATATCTTGACCAATTTACCATGTTATCCGTCAGGAAGGGAATCCCAGCCAATTAGTATGTTGTTCGTTCAAATATGACAATTTACTAACATACATCCTCCTACTGACAGCTCAAAAGCAGCACTATTATTTTCAATGATGTGTAGTTTGAAGAAACCAACAGTTCCTCTGGTCAAATCAAAGCATTTTCTTCTCGGCATGACAAGTAATACAAGCGAAATTCCACTCCGAAATGATATACGATTGATATATTTTAATTGTGAAAGTTCAGATGCAAAATAATTCTAAAGTATTCAGGCGAAAGGCACGTGGTCTTTGTTGTCGAAAGGGTTGAAGAGAGTCCTATGGGTTTCCCTGGAAGGATAATTTGTATTGGTCTAATAAGTACACTTCTGTGACTGTTGCACTGAGTGCTGCTGAGTGTCAATTCAATGGATGAAATTTATACCGTCGAAAGTTTTTGATCACGCCTATTCAGGTGTTAGTCTCACATAAAGTTTTACACGCATCTTACGGGTCTAGCATAATCTTTTAAAATGCATCTACTTCCACGTCCAATTCACTGCATGGCGCACCCAACACCCGCTGCCCTAAGAAAGTAGGTTTCCTTTAGGTAGCAGAGCAAGTGGTGCTATCTATTTTGGTAATTACATCCTTGTTGCGCCACCTAGTTTATTGAAGGAATTGCAATATGGATATTGTAGCTAGTCTGCCAAGGGAGGCGCGTTGGGTACCCGCAAGTTTATACTGTGCAGTCGCCTGAAACGGAAGGTAGGATAATCAAGTGTCCGCCTGCCTCCTCCATCTGTTGAATGGGCAGTGTGCTCGAATAGTGTGC